ACTCTGCAAAGCCACTGGATGTGTGGATCTTAACAATCAGATTATTAACAGTTCCAACACGGACAAATTCCCACTTAATTGTGCTCGTGTGGAATTTGTACATAGACCCAGAGGGAATCATTTGAACAGAGTAAGAGAATACTGCATATATTTTTTTCTTTTTTCCTTTTTAGAACGTAATTAACTTTGTTATATAAAACCCACTATGTGGTAGCCACAGCTGGAGTTTGGGTCCTCTGCATGGAGACTCTGATGTGAGTCTTTACAAAGATGGTCAGTGAATACCTGGTAGGGAGGCTTGGTGAACACAGACTCTTCCCAGAGATCTGAGGTCAAGTAGCTGTAGGTCTTGGAGGTGGCATCAAAAAGGTGGCCTTGGCGAAGCTGCCCAGGGTGGCTGCGCAGCCCCTGGCTGAAGTGTAGCAGTCATCAACTCCAGCCTTCTGCAGCAGCTTCCTAGACACAGGGGCCGAGACGATTCCAGTGCCTCGGGGTGCAGGGATCAGACGCACCAACACAGAGCCACAGCAACCAGTCACCTTGCAGGGAAAGGTGTGAGGCTTGCCAATCTTGTTCCTCCAGTAGCCATGCCTCACAGGGACAGTGGAGAGCTTGGCCAGGAAAATGGCCCCATGGATGATAGACACTACCTCCTTGGAGCACTTGACGGCCAAGCCAACATGGCTATTATAGTCTCCAATGGCAAAAAAGGCCTTGAACCTGGTCCACTGGTCAGCTTCTACACAAGCATGATTTTCAAGACGGTCATCCCCAGGAAAAAGTCAGTGATCTCAGATGGGCAGTGAGAAGAGATACATGTCCTCCAAGGATTTGCTCTATATCTTTGAACAGACGGCCTAGCTTGGTGATAGGGAGCCACTTCTTGTCTTCGGCTTGGCCTCCTCAAGCTCCGCAGCCCCTCCCACAGCTGTGGCCTTGACCCCACAGACTGCTGCCAAAGCCGCTGTGGGCTCCCATCCCAGGGTCCCGGGGCCTCCCGCTGTACCGGTGTCATCACCCATTTGGTGTTTTCTTGGAGGAGTGATATAAGTCAGGAAGAGTATGTGATTGCATGTCTCACCAAGTTTAATCAATATGTACGCTGAGCAAATATTCTGAGAGCCAGACTGTGAGGAGAACAGAGCATCAGGATTGGAGGAAGATTTGCTAACAACTGACATACAATTGCCTGCTTGACAAAACCTGGTATGCAGACAAGGAAAGATTACTGAAGCACTTAGCAAATAGGATCTGACTAGAGCCTTCAGTATGGCTTATACCTTACCATGAAACAAAATTCTTCACAAGAAACAGTATCATGATAAATGAAGAAAATAACAAGTTGTTTTTATTTCACAAAGATTCCATATTACAAGGCTCCACAGTCATCACCATGGAGCAGGAGTCAAGAAATCAGACAACATGTTGCATTGGGCATTTCTGTTTCCAAACCTTTAAAAGTGCTAAAAGCAGCAAGAGTGTCAGTTTAAAGGCCAGGGTGCAACTGGCCCAAGGCACTGTATTTTCAGTCACCTAATATGTATATGCAAAACTAGACAGTGACTATGGAGGAAAGGAGGATTGATGCCTTTGAATTGTGGTGTTGGCAGGGAACACTGGATAGTCTCTGACTGCCAAAGAACAGACAAATCTGTCTTGGGAGTAGACACCTCCTGTCTTACCTTAGAAGTCAGGATGAAAAAAACTTCATCTCACGTATTTTGGGCATAGTATCAGGAAAGGCCAATCCTTGAAGAAAGACATCATGCTTGGTTACGTAGGTCAGGGAGCCCCTCAGCGAGATGGACGGCCAGGACTGAGGATGGCACCCGACCAGGCAGTGCCACCCTTCCGGACACTGGGTTGCTCAGTCTCAGCTGACTAGACAGCACCCAACAGCAAGGCTCGAGGTTGTACTTGGCTCTCATGGTCTTGTTAAAATTCTCTGCAGCTTTTCAACTTGAAGCTAATGGTCTATTCTGCAGTTGGCCTCCTGGTTGGTTCTGATTCTTTCTACAGTTTGATTCTTGTATACTCAATCCAGCAAGCTCCATCTCTGTAACTGTTGTCTGTAATGTTACAGGGCGGGGGGCAGGCATTTTCAGCGCACAAGTTACTGGTCTCGCAAAACTATCATGTGATCCTCAGTGTTGTTTCCATCACCGACTTTTCTTTCCCGTTTCCAACTCTCATTCCGTTTACCAGTAATTAACAATGCATCCTGACTGCATATATGAAAAATCTAGTTTCTTCCGTATAAATTACTTTTTGTAGTTTTGAAGAATAATGGTATTTACTGGTCTTCCTTATAGGCATGTGGTTTATCACTAATGGTGGTGTACTTCAGGACAGACCTAGACATGTTCATTTGGGTTTTTTTTTTAATTTGTGCGTGTGTGTGTGTGTATACCATCAAATGAGATCTGACTGGTACAGATTTTTCCTCCTCCTCAAGGAGAGTATCTGGTGGATTTGAACTGTGTGCCTCTGGGACTGCAGTGCAGCTTCTTGCCACTAGGCCACCAGAGTTCACAGACATGTTCGTTTTGACAGTGAATCCCCTTGTAAACCACAGGATCGTGTGATTGGCTGTGGCACTAACTGTCCCCTACAGCTCACTAACGCCTAGGGCCGGGAGCTCCGATGGTACAATCTGTAGAAGGCTGCCTTGCAGCCCAACTCCACCAGCCACTCCCCAGGAGAAAGACAGGCAGTCAGCCTGCTTGATTGACAGTGGTGGAAATCCACGAGAGGGTCAGCAGGGAGTCAGAGACAACACGAGTGAGCGAGCAGGTTCTTCCCATTTTGTATTGGCAGAGGGGGCTCTGGTGGCACAGAGCTGTGCTGCTGACCCAAAGGCCATGCCTCTCTGACAACCAGCTGCTTTGCTGGGGAAGTCATCTCATTCCATGCGATTCACTGCCTTGGAAACCCAGTGGAGGGTCAGCCATGAGTTGCTTCAAACTTCACAGTCTTGGACTTTCACTGTGAGGAGGTAGCTCTTTCACATTCGTATAGAAGCTGTTCAGCCCGAGGGGCTCAGCTCCTGGCACTATGCCAGACACCGGTCCACTGATAAATCATTTATAAGGTTTTCACTAGCTAATTTTGGGGGAATTTTTTTTTTAAGTCAATCACCAGATCCATCTTCAGTCTGTCTTAAAGCTCTACCAAAACCTGTCTTTGTGGGTGATCCTGCTTGTTTTTTTGAAATCCTGATATAGCTTCCAGCATCACAAAAGTCATCACAGCAGGACAAGCTGGCACATGAACAGCGGGCCCCATAAATAGAACCTAAGAGACGGTGTGAACACAGCACCAAGGCAGGCACCATGGAGGATGCAGGAGACATGCTGTCAGACACTTGTTCTCCAGGGGCCCACAATCCCGTAACTGTCAACAGTGCCGCACATAGGGTCCCTGCGGTCACGTGTAGCGCTGGATTCTAGCACTGCCTTCTGGAGCCAGAGGCCTTCCTGTCCAGGGGACTATGTTAAGTAGGATAGGATGACAGGGCTGATAACCCAGGGGTGTGTCAGGAGGACCCTTGAAGGACTACCACCACCCCCCCACACACACTGTCCTCAAGTCAACTCCAACTCACAACAACCCTTTATGGGGTTTCCTAGGTTGTAAATCTTTACAGAATAAGATGGCCCATCTTTCTTCAGCAGAGCAGCTGGTGGATTCAAACCACAGACCTTTTGGTTAGCAGTACCCCCACCAGAGCTCCTCTGCTCGCTCACTGTCAAGTTGGAATTGACTGAGAGCTGACCATTGAGCGGGATTTCAGAGGCTGTAAATCACAGAGGATGAGACTGCCCATCTTTCTCTTGAACACCTGGTGGATTGGCAACTCCTTACCCACGAGGCCACCTTCATGAAGGACTAGCTCTAGTAATTAATACAGGAAGGCCAATGAGTGAAGTTATCATTGATTTAATTTTACTTGAATCCACAATCAACACCCATGACGGCAGCAGTCAAGAAATAAAAAATGTTTTGCACTGGGAAAATATATTGCCAGGAACTTCTTTAAAAAGAGCAAAGATGCCAGTTTAAAAACCAACGTGTACCTGACTCAAGCCTCCATTGCTCATCTGCACCTGACAGCTAGACAGTGAATCCTCCTCCTCCTCAGAGCTGATCAGGTTTTCAGAGGCTGTAAACCGCGTGAGAGGAGACTGCTTGTCTTTCTCCTGCAGAGAGGCACCGCCTTTGAGTGCACAGCGCAACTCCCTACAGATCAGGCCACCAGAGAGACCCCAAGAAGCCCCCAAAAGAACTGATGCATTAGAACTGTGGTGTTTGCAGAGTATTCAATACACCACGGACTGCCAGAAGACTACAGAAATCTGTCCTGGAAGTGCAACCCGAGTGCTTCTTAGGAAATGCTGTCTCACATACTTTGGGCATGTTGTCAAGAGGTGCCAGTCTTTGGAAAAGACATAATAATTGGAAAAGCAAAGGGCTTGCCAAAGAGGAAGACTCTCAAGAAGACAGACTGCCATGGTGGGTGGCTTGAGCAGGATGATCATGCTGATGGCACAGGATAGGGCAGAGTTTCAATCTTTGTTCACAGGGTCACTATTAAGTTGTCGTTAGTTCAAGGGCATGCAACAGCATCCAAAAGGTCAGGGAGCTCAGATGTTGCAACAACTAAGTACTCTGGCTACTTAGAAAGGTAAAGAGAGTCACTAGCGAGTCTCTGAAAGGAGAAAGACCTAGGGTCTGCTCTTGTAAAGATGAGAGCTGGTGGGGTAGGTCTTCACCCTGTAAGGCTGACCCCACACACAGTGGGCTGGTGATGCCCCTTTAAACTAAGAGCTTAATTTATTCCTTGAGCTCAGTAAACTCGGGAGGACTAACGAGAGCTGGATTTTCCCGGACTGGCACATGAAGGCGCCGGGAGGCAGCATCCCTGCTGAGGGTCGTGGCAGAGCAAGGGGCCCAGAGGGGTAGAGCTTCACGTGGACCACACTCTGTGACCCTCTCTGCAGGTGCTGGGGAGACCCGAAGTCGCCACAGCTCATATCCCGCGGGATCCGAAGAGGATGAAGGGATAGGGGAGGAGCTCAGCCCCTTTCGGGGCCGCTCGCTCTCAGCGCCCCCCAACCTCTGGGCTGCACAGAGATATGGCCGCGAGCTCCGCAGGATGAGCGATGAATTCGAGGGCTCCTTCAAGGTGAGTCCTGGGCCCCGGGGTGCGGGGATCTGCCTTCCCTCTGTCTCAGGCCACCCTCCCGCCGGTCTGCAGCTGCTTGGTCCGCAGCATGCAGATCTCAGCGGCACCCATACCTGTCCTCGCCAGCACCTCCCTCCAGGGGGCTGCTGCGCCCCAGGCTTCACCCTCCCTCCAGATCTCCTGGAGTCCCCCAGGGCCGTCTGAGATCTGTGTTTCTGGCCAGCCCTGTCGAGTTCCCAGGCCCTCTGTCCCTGCCTGGAGGCCACGTCTTTAAGTCTTCAGTTTTGGTCCCATCTTCAGGTGGTCGCTCTCGGTTCTAGATGTCCGCGGGCCCAGCCCTGGCGGTAGCAGCGCCTTTTCCTAAGGGCCAGACTCCGATCTCCCCCGGGGCTCGTGCAGAGGTGGGATGTCTGAGCCTGAGTCCTGCCCCGATGGCCCAGCTCTCACCCTTACCTCCCCCCTCCAAAGGGCCTTCCTCGCCCGAAGAGCTTGGGCTCCGCCACGCAGATGCAGCAGAGCCCCAGCTGGACCCGCGTCATCCAGTCCTGGTGGGATCGGAACTGGGGGAGAGGTGGCTCCGGCCCCTCCCAATGACTGTCCGCTCCACGCGCCCGGAGCCCCACTGTCCTCGCCGCTGGCGGCCACTTTGATGCGGGCAGAAGTCGCCCGGAAGCCTTCGGCCAACAGAGGCTCGGGTCCGTTAGGAGTGAACTGAGCGGAGCCAGTGTCCGACTTCCTTCCGGTGCGCGCCCCCGCTGGCGGAAGTGCGGGTGGCTCCGCCCCCGGCACGCGCGGGCCCCACCACGCATGCGCGATCCCGGAGGCGGGCTTAACCCCGCCGGCGCCGAGGCGAGGGTCACTTTCCCCAGCCTGTGGTTCGCCACGCCCTGTGCAAATAAAGGCCGGTCTGTGCCGCTCGGTGTCCCGTCCTTCGCTGGGGCTTCGGGGCCGGGGTGGTGCTGGAGTGCCAGGAGGTGCCCCGCATACAGATGGGGAGCAGGCGGAGCACCCCACGCGGGGACAGTGGGCCGGAGGTGGGGCTGCCTGGCGTCAGTGACCTGCGGGTCCTTATCTCTAATATGGTAATTGGGAGTTGCAGCCTGGCTGGCCGCTGGAATTCTGCGCCCTGCAAACCATGCTCCGGTCCCCAAGGGAGGGTCATTTGTTCCTATCTGGGTCAGTCCTTGTGAGCAGCTACTGTGCGGCGGGCGTGCGGCCAGCGCCGCTCGGGGACCAGGGGCGCACGGGGGCGGGGAGCGGAAGGCGAGTCCGGGCTGAGGGTCTGTAGGGCGCGGAGGGGGCCTTTAGAACTTGAGACCAGAGCAACTCCACAAGGATTTATTGGCGCCCCTATCGATCGGCCCTGTGCTTTGTCCTGGATACACAGTGATGCCCAGGCAGGCCCTGCCCGTCAGGCATCCCAACATGGGGAAGGCAGCCCCCTCCACAAAGCAATCAGGGGGCTTTCAGGGAGTCAGAGCTAAAGCTTGAAGGCAGAGACAAGGGGAGCAGGCTTCTGAGTGTCCTGCCAAATGCATGTCCCATCTGGCCTGGCATTGGCTTGGGGATCAGGTAGTGTTTCTGCAAGTGGACTTGAGAAGAGTCTAAAAGGAGGCAGTTGGCTGCTGCGCGGCCTAGACACCACATGGAGGAACCAATTTGGGGGTCAAACAAGGCCGGATGGCTTAGGTGATGCCACTGACCCTTGAGGGAGGAGGGCCCAGGCCACAGCATCCCCAGCCCGGGGAAGGCCCGACTCTATTTCCCTGGCCTCCCTACCTCAACTGTTCGTCTGAGGCAACAGCAAAAACAAAGTAAAACAAACACTCAATTGGCAGCCAAGAAGTCCAGATAAGAGGCAGCCTTCCTCAGGAGGGAGGCCTTGGCCCCTGGTGATCCAGGAAGCTGGGGGAGGCCTTGAAGAAGGGTCAGCCCTGGCTGAACCCCACCCTTGCCGCAGGCTCCACTCCACGCTGTTCTTCCTCCTGGCTGGGTGAGGGCTGTCCACCACAGAGGAGCCACGCCTGCCCTGTGCCTCCAGGTCAGATGTCTTGATTTAGCTGGGACCTGGAACTTCATCTCTGGGCCTGTTTCCTCACCTGTAAGACAGGCAAACCATCTCCCTCACAGGGGTGAGGGGGAGCTGGCACTCCTAGCCCCCAGGAGATCACCTCAGACCCACTTCCCACCTAGGCTGAAAGCCAGGTCCCCTGGTGCTGCCCAGCTCCGCCCCCCGTGGATCAGGCCCCATGCAGAGAATCTGCCTTTCTAGACCCAGAGTGGCCCTGGCGGAAGATGCTGGGCACTTGGGTCATATCAGGCAACAGGAAGATGGGGGCAGGGAAGGTTTCCTGGAACAGTCCTGGGGCTCCGTGAAGGCCGGGGAGAGGCTTGGAGGGAGAAGGTCAGGGAGTCGGGTTGAAAATGGGAGTGGAGGCAGGCCAGGGAAAGGGAAAGCCTGGGGCAGGATTACGGTGAGGAGCGTCATCAGGAAGACTGTGGATCCAGACAAGGCTGCCTACACGCTCCACCACCACCATCAGCTCTTCGCTGGGACCTTACTTCAACCAACCAAATGCCCATTTCACAGATGAAGAAACTGAGGCTTTCCCCGAAAGACAGTGGACAGTGCCCAACCTAGGGCCCAGAGACCTCTCCAGCCCTACCCTACCCCAAACCACACTGCACACAGGGTCCCTGAAATCCACTTTTATTCATATAAAAAAAAAATCCCCAAGACAGAAAGTAGCCCCTATTTCCCAGAGCTCCAAGTCCCCAGCCCCTGTGGAAGTGAGGGGAATGTCTCTCACTCTGGATATGGTGCCATGAAAGGGTGGAGAGCCCGAGACCCTGGCCCCTCAAGGTGACCTAGTACCTTTTCTGGCACTGAGGGCAAAAAGGAGGGACCTGACACTTGAGGGAGAGGAAGGGAACTCAAAGGAGTTAGTGTGGGGTACTTGCCCCTAATTTTAAAAAAATAAAATTTCTAAAGATAAAAAGTTAAAAATAAAAAAGCATTAGTGTCTTAGTATCCTCTGGCTCCCCGCCCAGTATCTGCCCTGGCCCTGTGGCCACCTCTTGTCCCTGCAGCTCAGAGCTTCGTGTTCTCCTCCTGGCTCTCAGAGTCAGCACCGGACAGGTGGCTGCTGCTCCCGGGCGCATGGCCGTTGCTGGCACAGGCCACCAGATGCCCGTCCCGCAGCCCCTCCGACGTCTCGCCCAGCAGGCTCCAGCGGATCTCCTGGGGCAGCCTCGCCCGCTGCTCCTGACACTCCTGGGTCAGCTGAGCCACCAGCTGCGGGAAGAGGGCAGTGTCTTGGGGGAGGCCGGGCTGCCCAGGCCGCCAGCTGCCTCCCACCCGCCTGTTCCCTGGGCCTCACCTTGGGCTCCTCCTCCGCCAGAAGCTGTAAGACCTGCTGCTGCGCGGCCACCAGGCAGTCGTGCCGCTGCTTCTGGGCCTCTTCCAGCTGCAGGGTGGGCAAGGGCTCAGTTAGACCCTGCAGTCTGGCTGAGCAGAAGTCAGGAAGCCCAGGACCCCAGGCTGTGGCCCCTGAGCGGCACCCCTGAAGGCGCAAAGCCTTGGTGCACTGTTGTAGTTGACCTTGTACATCATCTGGGGCAAAGGAGGACAGTGGGCCCAAGAAAGGCTCTAAGAAGCCCCTCTCAGTCAGGCTGTAGTTCCAGGCCAGGCACCGAGGAGGTGGACACAGAGGACTGAGGACGAGAGGAGGGTGAGGGCACGTGACAGGGCTGAGTGTCACTCACCCGACGGATGGAGTTGACTGATTCGGTGATGTGCCGCCGGTTAATCTCCGTCAGTTCTCTGCAGAGGAGCAGGGCAGGCTAGCTCGGTGTCCAGTCCCGGCCCCACCTCCCTGACACCCCGGGGGCTCCCGGCCCTCAGCCCTTACACCTCCTTCTTGTATTTTTCCCTCGTTTTGGCCTCTGAGATACTGTTGTGGCGCTTCCGGTCCAGGATCTTCTGCAGTTCCTTCTTCTCTCTGGAATTGTCAGTTTGAGACAGGAAGGGTCAAGGGTGGACCTGGGCCCCTGCCCTCCTCCTGCTGCCAGGGCTGCACCCACACAAGATCCCTGCCCTCACTTCTCGTTCAGCTCCTTCATCCTCTTCAGCTGAGCTGAGTGTGCGTCCTGGACAACCTCCCTGAGCCGATGCTGAACCTGCAGACCCAGAGCCGTCAGGTGACACAGGATGCCCGACAGGGCCACACCAGGCAGGCTTCCTCCTGCCACCATGTGCCCCGCACCTGTCGCAGGTGCTCCAGCCTCCGCTCGGCCTCGGCGTCCAGCTGGGCCTCCCTCAGCTCCAGCAAACTCTGCACCTGCCTCTCCTGGAACTCCTGGTAGCGCCTGGCCTCCTCATCGTCCTCCTCGGGGGTGCCCCCTCTGTGGAAAGAGCACAGGTGTGTGCTCGGGGTGGGAAGGTGGTGGGAGCAGGACCTAAGGGGCACCAATCCCAGAGGTGCACCATTGGAGGGAGAAAACCGATTGCATGCTTGTGTCACAGGAGTCTCTGGTAAGGACTGTTCATGGAGAGTCTTACGAGAAGAGTCACTCCTGGGGCTGAGTATGCCACACTCCCTCTCGTCTCCTGACAGCAGACCTCCCTCCCCGTGGGCTGAGACAGTCCCTGGCCTCTCCCCGCGTCCCCTGCCCTGTGCAGGGCCCCAGGCACCCACCGGCGCCGGCCCCTGCCCTCCGCGGCCCGGGCCTGAGCCAGGTTGCTGAGCGCTCGGCGGGAGTAGACCAGCGCCTTCCGCTGGTGCTTCTTGAGCAGCTCTCGCAGGTCGCGCTCCTGGCGGCTCCGCAGCTTCACCAGCGCCTTGTGGCCTCGCAGCTCGTCCAGTGGGGTCGGGGCCACCTCTGTGAGCAGCAGAGCAAGCGGGCTGGGCGGGCGCTGGCCGGGGGTTACCGGCAGCTTGCCGAGGTGGGAGCAGCCCAGCAGAGCCCACACACCCCATCCCCTACCTGAGAGGATGCTGGCGATGAGGTCATCCCGCTGGCCTGGGGAGCAAAGGGGAGACAGAGTGAGTGTGTGCAAATGTGTGTGAGAGTGACTGTGTGTGTGGGGCTGTGTATGAGAGACAGTGACAGTGTGTATGAGTGTGTTAATGTGTGAGTGTATGTATACAGGTGTGACGTGTGGGTGTGACAGCGTGTGAGTATATGACTGACTACAGCATGCGTGAGCATGTGAATGTGCAAGTGTGTGAGAGTGTATGTGAGTGTGAGCATGTGAGTGTGCGACTGAGAGCAAACCTGATTGTGTGTGTGTGCAAGTATATGTGTGAGCGCATGTGTCTATATGAGTGTGTGTGTCTGAGCATGTGTATGTGTGAGAACATGTGTATGTCTGAGAGCATGCATGTGTGTATGAGCATGTGTGTAATAGTGTGTATTTCTGAGCATGCGTGTATATGCATGTGTATGAGCATGTGTGTATGTGTGTAACAGCGTGTGTCTGAGACCATGTGTACGTGTGTATATGAGCATGTGTGTATGTGTGTGATAGTGTGTGTCTGAGAGCATGCGTGTATGAGCATGTGTGTATGTGTGTAATAATGTGTATTTCTGAGCATGTGTGTATATGCATGTATGAGCATGTGTATATGTGTAACGGCATGTATGTGAGAGCATGTGTGTATATGTGTGTATATACGCAATTTGTGTGTATATGTGTGTGATAGTGCGTGTGCCTGAGAGCATGCATGTATGTGTATATGCATGTGTATGAGCATGTGTGTATATGCGTGTATGAGCATGTGTGTATGTGTGTAACAGCGTGTATGTGAGAGCATGTGTGTATATGTATGTATATAAGCATGTGTGTATATGTGTGTGATAGTGCGTGTGTCTGAGAGCATGCGTGTATGAGCGTGTGTATGTGTGTAATAGTGTGAATGTCTGAGCATGCATGTATATGTGTGTATGAGCATGTGTGTATGTTTAACAGCATGTATGTCTGAGACCATGTGTGTATATGAGCGTGCGTGTATATGTGTGTGATAGTGCGTGTGTCTGAGAGCACGTGTGAGCCTGAGCGTGTATACTGGGAGATGATGGAAGAACTGCAGCCCTCCCTCCAGCCTGCCCCCCAAGTCCAGAGCCTCTTACCTGGGCTGCTGAGGGAGGGGCTGGTGGGCGAGGTGGCAGGGCCTGGAGTTCTTCGAGGGGAAGTGGTGTCCAGAGAGCTAGGTGTGGGGTTCAGGGACAACTGGGCTCCCAGCTGCTGAGACGGGGGTTCCTGGCTCGTCTCGGGCCCAGTCTGAGCCTGACGGAAAACAAGCAGTGGTCTTTCCAGAAACCCTATCCCCCTGGGCTCCTGTGTCGCAGGCATCCCAGCTCCTACTGGCCCTGGAAGGTCCCCTGAGCCTGTCTAGCCACCAGACTATGCTGTGACAGGAGCTTGTCATCAGCCAAGCACAGAGACATGGTGGTCAGCTGCCTTTGAGACGAGCCTGGGAAAGTTTCTGACTCTCGTCATGTGAGGTGTGGGGGAGCTGGTGAAGACTGCCTCGAAGGACACTAGGCCCATCAGTGTACCCAGGGACTTTCAGATTATGCTGGAAACTGCCCTGCCTGGCGTCTGCTCCCCTTTCTGTGCCTCTCCACCCTGTGTCCATGTTGTGCGTCCTCCTGGGGGTTTGGCTCCTGATTAAATCAACAAAGGAAGTGACAGCGGGGTGGCACCAGCTCTCCTGCTAACAGCCCCTCACAGCCGTAACTGCAGCGCCTCTCTGCCAGCTGCAGGCCCTGGGACCAGCTCTGGATGTGCCAAAAGCCTCTGCCCTGACTACTCCCCACGTGGCTCCATCAACTCCCTTCTTTTACAAGCTTCTCTGGCTTCAAACCACCTGGGTGAAAGGGCTGTAGCCCCACACCTCAAGTTTGACCTCACTCAGGGCTGGAGGCATGTAAGAGGAGGGCTTCCAATTCATTTCTTAAGACGTGGGGTGAACCTGAGGGAGTGACAGGGGAAAGGAAGATGCAGCAGTGGTGGCTCCAGGCCAGGCAGGCGGGGCGAGCTGCCCAGGGACTCTGTGTCCACCCTCTAACCTGGGGACAGCAGCACAAACTCCCTGGTGCCGAGAGGGCCCGTGAGCCGGTGAAAGGGTTCACTCGGCGGGGCCGGGAGCGGGCGCTCAGCACTCACAGGGCCTTCCTCTGTGAGGTGGGTGACACTGAAGAACCCAGAAGGGGAGCCAAGCTCAGACAGATGGCATGGTGGGGTGTGAAGACACTGGACAGCCCAGTGGGGTTGCAGAGGCTGACCACCAGGTCCATCAGGCTGGGAGTCTGGGCAGCTGGCCAGGCCGAGGTCTTCCTCAGCCCCCCACTAACACCCACAGCAGCCATCAGAGTCCCCCTACTCTCCAGGGCTCTGCCCACCCCACCAACTGAACCCTACTTCTGCCCAGTCTGCTGTGGCTCACTTCGCTGTCCCCGATGAGAGCTGCCCCCAGGCCCCGCCCACTGAGCCCCAGTCCTGCCCCAGCCCATCCTGGCTTACCTCGCTCTCCCCAATGAGGGCGGCCAGCTTCTTGGCCCTCTGGTCCATCAGGCTGACGTGCTTGATGGGGTTGATCAAGGCCTCAGCGTAGTCTATGCCAGAGGGCAAAGGTCACTGACAGAGCCCCTGGGGACCACCATTACTAACTCCACCCCAACCTACTCAGTCCCCTTTAGGTCCCTGAGGACTAACTGGGGTTTCTGAGCTTGGCCACTCCCAGTGGGCGCCCAGCTCACCCTGGTGGTCATCAGGGATGTAGTCAGAGGCTTCAGTGTAGACGAGCAGGGCAGGCAGGCACAGAGGCTGGTTGGCCTCGTTCCTCAAGCAGACGTAGTGGTACCCTGTGGGGGTGGCCTGGTCAGCTGTGCCTGCCAGTACCCTGCACCCACAGCCCCCCAGCAATGCCCAGGCCCAGCACGCCTCACCTGAGCGGATGGCAGAGACCGGCAGGATCCGGTGCCCCACAAACTTGCCACCCTCCTCAAAGGCCGCGATGCGGAGAGAAGCCAGCGTGGGCAGTACCACCTGTGGGCACAGAAGAGCTGAGCCAGGGAGGCCTGAAGCCACGGTGACCACAGCTCCTGAGGGACCCTGGTCAGCCCCACTCATTGCATGACTGACCACAAGTCTCTTTGGTCAGAGCAGGGTCCAGGCCAAAGTGTGCACACTGGGCCCCGTGGTCACCCAGCCGCCATCGGGGACGGGCCCAAGAGAACAGGGTGGAGGGGTCCCAGCAGCACTGGCCTGCTCTTCCTCAGCCCCACAGCAGGCTTCTCCCTCAGCTGAGGCACCACCAAGGAAGCCATGAGCCAAGGCCCCTCGCCCCGGGGAGCGGGTGCCAGCCCCTTGGGGACTGACGACAGGAACAAGCAGGCATGGGCTCGGGTGGGGGCCTCTTTCCCACCTCTGAGGGCAGGCAGGCCTTTCCTCAGGAAGAAGCTGAGGGGCCTCAGGCTAGAGCCCCCTCCGCCTCCCTTTCCCATCTTCTCCCTGCTTACTCCCAGGGTGCAGGGCCTGGAGGTGCAGGAGCCCCATTTCCATAGGGGCTCCGGGCGGCACTCACCTTGGGGAAGTCGAAGGGCTCCTCGTCCCACACGGGGTTGAACGAGTTCCCCTGTGAGGTCCGTGTGCGGTACTTGCGCCGCGTGTCAACAGGGAGGCCGAACATGTCCACCTCCACGTAGATGCCCACCTTTCGGTCAGACAGGAACTGCCCCGAGATCACCTGGGGGGCAGGTGGGCCGAGGAAGGTGAAGCAGCTGCCTAGACCCCTGCTCCCTGGACACCCCGGGCCCCGAGCCCCGCCTGACCTTGACTCGCAAGGCGTTGGCCACAATGCCATCCACGATGACCTCAGTGAAGGGGTCAAAAGACTTGTCTGGGCGCCGCATGAACTCAGGCTTGAGCAGGTAGCCGCTGCGCCCGTTGTACTCAAACACACCTGCATTGAGCTGCATCGCCACGTCTAGGGGACAGGGAGGGCAGGGTCAGGTGGGATGGTGTGCGGGAGGGGTCTCACAGGGTGATATGAAGACTAGGCTATCAAAGGGCATCAGCTTCCAGACCCAGTGAAGGGTAAGAGCGGCCAACGCCAGAAGCTGGGGTTAAGCTGAAGCTTGGGGCCAAGGTCAGGGGCAAGGCCACGGTGGGCCAGCTCTCACCCAGGGTCTGGAAGTTGAGGGCAACGAGCTGGCAGCCCACGTTCCAGAAGAGCTGGGGCATGTAGTTGGAGGAGTCCACCCGGGTGCCCTTGGGGTAGATGCGGCTAAGCTGCTGTTTGTTGTATCTGAGGTCAGCAGTTAGGGGCCACACAGTGCCAGGGGACAGCCCCAGCTTCCGCTCCTGTGAACCCTCCCACTCGGGGCCCACACACAAGGTCTCCTTTTAGACCAGGGTGCAGGAGGGCCAGGGGGCTGTGAAGGGGGCAAGGGCGGACACCCCCACCCTGGCTCCTGTCCACTCGGGAGGATACTCCACAAACTCCATGGGGCTCTTCGTCAGCTGTTCCAGGGCCTTGGTCTCCACAAAAGAGGACATCTCAAAGCACTTGTTCCTCTCTGTGGGGAACACATGGGGGGACGTCAGACCCAGCAGGGCAAGTTCCCCCTCCCTCCCAGCACTGCCCACTCCACTCACTTCGTGCAGCCTCAAAGGACTTGAACTTGACAGGCTCAATGTAGTTGACTAACGTCGACATTTCCTCAGTGGCGTTGACTTCAGTGCTGGCCGTGCCCTGTGGCCCCAAACCCAGAGTCAGCAGTGTCATGACCCCCAGCCATCAGCTGGAAACCTCACTGGCCCCCACCATACAGAGAGCAGGCACTGACCCTTCCCACCAAAGCGCAAGTCCTTGGACCAGTGTCCAACTCGGGTGACAAACAGCCTCAACTGCGACACGTCCAAAGCTGACCTGCGGGTACTCCTTCTCCCCTGAACCTGGCTCAAGTCCAGCTTTACCCAACAGTCATGCTGGCCTTTTCTTACCACTGTTCAGATCCCATCGGCTCGCTCTCCTCCTCAGAAACCTTCCTCGGAGCCCACTCTTTGCCTAGTACTGCCCACCTCCACACCTGCCACAGGGCCTTTGCATGTGCTGTTCTCTCTTAACTCTTGCCCCAGCCTCCCCTTCCCCCAGCTCTGAGCCCAGGCTCTGCTCCCCAGCGGCTGTTCACAAAGACTTGCTCAGGCGTGCTCATCCAAGATCTGTTCCTGCTCCCCATTTACTCTGACCCCCAAGAGGACAGGAATTAATGTCTGTCCTGCTCCCCCTGAGCTGTGCCTGGCACACAACAAACAGGTGCTCAGTAAAGAAGTGCTCAGCACATAAAACACGCCGCCTGCCCCAACACGCCCTGCCTTCCTGCTGCAGGCCTGACCTCATCTGTGGTGGGCTTCTTGAGGTCCGCTTGTTCCTCCTCTTCCTCATCTTCCTCCTCCTCCTCGCGGTCAGTAGGCCCCAGAGTGTCAGGACCCCGGCGTGGCCCCTCCTCGCCCAGAGACTTTCGGGGCTCCAGGCTGGGCTTTTCGGGGCCTGCCTCCTCCCCGTTGTTCAGGCCGGGACAGCTGTCGGAGCTGGGAGAGCCTATGGGGAGGGGGCCGTGGAGTTGGGTCAAGTCACTCAGGAAGCTGGGGGCTGTCCAACCCAAGGGGAGTCGCCTGAGAGAAGGGTCAGATGGGGTTGAACTCAGTGGTAGTTCAGAGGGGTCACATGTCAGGCCTGGAGCTGTATTCAGTGGACAAACAGGGCTACTGAGAGGGGAGAAGTTGGGGACTGGGGTGCAGCAGCGTGACTCGATGGAGGGAATGGCCATGGTGGGGCTACAGGCCAGGCATCAATCAGACCCACACCCAAGAAGGAGGCCCGGGAGGGTGGTCAGGGGTCAGCTGGGAATGGGAGGGACCTCTAAGGCGCGAGGTCAAGGGCAGGTTGAAGTTCTAGTCAGTTGCAGGGTCACAGACGAGGGGACTGAGAGTTGTACCCAAAACACAGAGATGTGGTTCCCTGAGCCCAGGGGTGGGAATCTAATCCCAGCTGAGGAGTCAGGAGCTGAATGGAATCCACGTTAAGGGGTTTAAGTCATGAGGTGAGTGACAGGGGACAGAGGCCAGAGCTCAGGGACGGAAGTGGCTGGGTGTGAACAGTCGGGGCTGGGAGTCCCACCATGAGAGCTGGGAGGTGGGGACCAGGGTCTACAGGCGATGGATGGGGTTCTGCCTGGGGGGTGTCATCCGAGCTGAGTGGAGCCGGGTGGAAGTGCCGCAGGGCCATACCGAGCTGGGGCGAGGAGGGCTCCGTGGCGGCCGAGCTCTCGCTCAGCGCCGAGTTGCTCTGCTCCAGCGGCCGCTTGCGCACAGAGCTGTCGGGGACGCCAGTGCTGGGCCGGTGTCGCTTCTTGTTCTTCACCAGGATGCGGCCCATCAGGTCCTGGGGGCTGGGCAGGGGGACGCCTGCGGCCAGCTAGGTGTGGGGGAGAGAGTCAGGGCCACTGCGGTGCCCCTCACCCCCGCCCACCCTGCTAGGTCCTTACCGGGTACTTGTCCAGCGGGTCGATGAGCAGTGCGTCCCCAAAGATGGAGCGGCAGTACTCGGCCATCTTGGCCTGCTGCTTCGCCCTGTGTGGCCAGGTCAGAGGTCAGAGCGGGTTCAGGGGAAGTCCGCAGGGGGAGAGGTCCAGGAGAGCTCCCCTTGGGGGGAAGCTGGCTCCCCCAGGTCAGAGGACAGTGGGACAGCTCGGTCGTGGGGTGGGGGCGCTCACTCACGAGTCCACGTGGTTCTCGAAGGAGAGGATGACCGGGTAGGGCGAGGTCTTGAAGGCGGTCTCGGCGATGGCCTCCAGCACGTCCCGCAGCGGCACCTCCGTGGTCATGGTGAAGCCGTGTGTGATGAAGGGCTCCTCCTCAGGCGGCCGCCCCTTCCACACGTCCAGCTCCACACAACGGCAGCCCCACAGCAGCGCCTGCCGGTACATCTCCACGGACGAAGTCCCGGCCAGCTGCCCCGCTGGGGGCGAGGCGTGTCACCCCGGCTGCCCTGCCGGCTGGCCCCTCACCCACCGCTCTGCCCTCCTCCCCAGGAGCAGCCATCAGCCTGGCTCCAGTCGATGCCAAGCCATGGGGACCCACATGGCACACAGTAGAACTGCTCAGCTCTGTGGAGCTTTCAAGGCTGTGACCTTGAGGAAGCACGTCACCAGGCCTTTCTTCCTTGGCACCTCTGGGTGGGCTCGAACCACTCATCTTTTACTTAACAACTGTTTCACTACCTGACAACCCTTACTCACATCCTGATCAGGACTTAAAAGTGGAACAACTAACACCTCCCCTAAGACCAGGGGAGCCAGGAGCATGCCCATTCGCTCAGCTCAGGTTCTGCACAAAGCCGGTGCCCACCAGTGTTTGCCAGGAGGTAGGTTCACTGCCAGGGCTCACCTTCTCACAGCCAGCACCCACCATTCACCCATCCCACCAGCCTGGACCCTGAGCCTTTTGCCAATAGCTTCACTTCAGCTTCCACAGTCCCTCACCTCGTCCCACCCCCTCTGCCTGAGAACAGACTCCGTCCCTCCTGCCTGGAGCCCGCAGGCCCCTCCCTGCCTCCAATCCACTCCACACAGCACCTGGCGTCCTCCTTCTAAAAACATATCAGGTCACACCGCCTCCCCCCGGGCCCTGCTCACCACCATCCAAGGCCTCTCCCTCCCCCTCAGGACACATCCATATTGCTACTTGCCCCCTGCTCTGGCCCAGCCTCCTGAGCTGGCCCCCCTGCCCCTCGCACCCCGAGCATGCCCCAGCCCCACGCCTGCAGCCAGCCCTTTGCACAGGATGTTCCTCCGGCCACAGCTCAGTGGAGACAGAGCTGGCCAAGCCCAGCTCTTCCCAGGGAGGCCTGCCCCATGCAGAGATGCTACCGCAGGTTCCCAGGTCCTGCTCCCCGTTCCCTGCCTGCACCCCAGCACTGGCCAGCGCACGCACAGTGCAAGGGCCCAGGGTGGCTCGCTGCTCACCTGTGAGATAGGTGTTGTGCGAGGAGTTGATGAAGTAGGAACTCAGTGGCTGGGTCATGTCGGCACTCAGGTCCAGGGCCTCCAGGGGCAGGATGCCGTTCTCCTCGCCCCCCAGGTAGCGGCTAAAGCCCTCCATGGACATCTGGTCTGGGGGTGGGTGGCAGGGTCAGCTGGACCCTCCTCCCAGTCCTGCCCCCGCCCCAGCGCCCTGCTGGACCCTCACCTCGCTCCAGGAACTGCTGGTTGGGCTCGTACTTCTCAATGAGCAGCCGGGCCTGCGAGGCGCGCAGCGGTGGGTACAGCACCTCGTTGAGCCTAGGGTCCCGCTGCTTCTGGTTGATGAAATCCATGAGCTGCTCCAGCGTCAGATAGGGCTTCCCCTTGGCGCCTCTGGACAGGTGAGGAGCTGGGTCAGGCCCAGGGGTCCCCCTGGACACCCTGGTCTGCACCTGCCTCCAGCACTCGGGAAGTGGGCTCCAGTTCCCCAGCCCCTCTCTGACCATGTGACATGAGCAGCAGATGGGCCCCCACCCCTGCCTCTCTGCCGCTCGCTGTCTGTCAGGAAAGCTTTCTAGCTCCCTGTCAGCCCCCCTTTTGCTCACGAGGTGGAGTCCAGGCATGGGGAACAGCGAGGGGGCACCCCCCTCCAGCCCCGCCTACTCACATCTCCAGCAGGATCTTGTCGATGTCTGGCCGCAGACACAGTTTGTTCAAGAACCGTTCAAAGATGTCCAAGGAAAACTCATCAGGCCGGATGGACTCACTCTGGGGGCCGGATGTGAGGGGTGAGAAGCCAAAGGCAGTGGCCCCAGAGACTGGGTGCCCTTCCCCCCACCACAGGGGGCTCCCACCCCACACACCCGGTTGAATTTGAGGCCACAGGATTCCAGCGCCGTCTCTACCCTCTTCTTGTCTGCTGAGAACATCTTCAGGATGCTGGAGCGGATGGGGAGGGAGTCAGGGGCAGGGGCAAAGGTCACCAAGGTTACAGGAGGAGAAAGGGCATTGGGGAGGAGGTGTGTGCTCACTTCTTCACTGGAATGCGACCATCCTGGTTCACCTGCAGCTTCAGTTTGGTGTATCTAGGAAGGTAGTAAGGGGTCACTCCCTGCAGATGGCCACCCAGACCCCCGGGGATCCCCCAGTGGTGGCCCAGGGCTCACGCTTTACGCAGGAAGGTGTTCCGGGAGGCGTTCTGAGCCAGAATGTTCATAGCCAGCTTGAACAGCTCCTCACACCAGACCTGGGGGTCAGCAGATGGGGGAAGGTGAGCAGGGGCCCGTGGACACGTCCTGGCCACAACCCATGCCCTCCGGGGTCTGGCACATATAATGCTGGTATGCTGATCTTCCCAGGGACAACCAGGTACAGGGCCAGAAAGCAGTCTCATACATCAGGTACAAGTCACTGCCTTCCCCAGGTGCCGCCCGCAGCCCCAGCCCACCTTGGCTGTGTCATCCTGCACCGCCATGAAGTTCAAAAACGTCGTATTCACAGGGTCTGGCCCAGCCACCACCGTTATCAGCTTCTCCTCCAGTCGGGCATCAGGACCCCCGAAACCCAGCACCTCCCGGATCTTGGGGTCCTGGGGAGGTGATAACTCAGGCTGAGGAGGTATGCCCTGGTCCTCCAGGCCTCGTGTCCATTCTTAGCCCTGGGTCCTGGCGCTCACCTTGGGCAGGCGGGCATATCGCCCAGTCCGTGTGTCCCTGATGGAGCTGATGTCCAGGGTGTCCACCTCCTGGGGGATCAGATGCCGGGGTGGAGCTGAGGGGAGGGAGCCAGGAGTCCCCGAGCTCCACACCCAGACCAGGGAATGGCCACCCACCAGCTCAGCCCCACACTCAGCCCCTGTCCTGACCTCGCACAGACCAGGGAGTGACCCCCCGCCCCAAGCTCCATGCTCAGCCCCTGCCATCAGCACTGTCAAGGGAGCTGTGGCAGAGGTCACCCAGCAGCTGCCCCAACCCAAGCCATCTGTGCCTGGGGTGGGAGCCATAGATCTGAGAGAGCCATGCCCACGCCTGCCCTCACCATGTTGGGTCCTGTCCAGTACAGGAAGAAACCATTGGGGTCCACGCGCAAGGTCACCAGATTCCGACTAGAGGCCTCCTGGGGACAGGACGTGAGAGCAAGGGCTGGAGAGGCAGGGCTGAGGGCCAGTTCTGTCTTGACCCCTGACCCCTCAGCATCCACCCACAGTTTCTGCCAATGTCCGAAGCTAAAGCCCCTCCCAGCCCACACGTCCTCCACAGCGTGGCCCTCAGCGTGCAGCGTGTTGTCTGGGGCCCCCATGCTCCCAGCTTTACCTCTTGCCCTAAGAAGCTGTCACATGGACCACTGCCCACCCTTCTCCACTCTCGGCTTCACCTCATTGTTCCCTCTGCTGGATCGCCTTTCCTTTCTCTCTTCCAGTGAAATCTGACCCCCTCCTTGGGGAGGTTCCCCAAACCCTCTGCCAGGCTTGGAGCTCCCAGAGGGCTCCACAGCTCCCTGAAGGTGGGGCTCTACTTGAGCTCACAGAGGGGATTTCGGAGATTCAAGCAAGAGGGCAACGCAGCTCTCCACCCCTCGGCATCCCTCAGGGCACCCCTTCTGTCCACTGCCAAGTCCATGTTCCCCTGGCATCCTCAGAATCCCCCATAGGCTCACCCTACTCCACCCTGTAACCCCAGCACCCCTGCCCTCAGGACGTCCGCAGCCTCACAAAAGAACAGACTAAGTCCCCCTAGAGCGAGGACTGTCCCAGCCCTCCAAACACACTGTCCTCCCTCTCACAGCCCTATGGCTGGCAGGGGGCAGGGACAGGCCTGCTGGCCCCATTTTCTGGGGAAGGCCCAGCCCCTGGCTAACTCCCAGGGCCACCCAGTGTGACTGAGGGACAACAGCCAGAAGGGACTGTCATCTTAGACTCAGCCAGGACTGAAGCAGTCAGGTGGCCACAGGTAGAACTCCCCTGCCCCAGGTTCCATCAGGCTGAAGAGGACGCAAGTTCACCATGGATGCCACCCCGGCACTGACGCTGCCTGTCTGGTGGGCATTAGATCACCACTGGCCCACTGCTCTCACCCCTGGCTCCACTGTGTGCCCTTCTAAGCACTTAATCTGGGTGAGTTCAGGCCGTCCTGGCAGCAACACTAGGAAGGAGGTGGTACTATTCCCATTTTATGGATACAGAAACTGAGGCACAGGGAGGCTAAGGAGCTTGCCCAGGATCATGTAGGGGGGCGAGGATCTGCATGGAGGCGGCGTGTCGACGTCAATGCCCTGGGAAGGACCAGAGGCCTGGGAAGCAGGGTGCAGAGCCCCCGCCAGGCTGGGAGCTCCAGCCTCAGTCTTGAAGTGCAGCCGAGGATGGAGCGCCTCTTTTCAGGCCTTAGTCTGCCCTGCTGGAGAATGGGAATTGCACTGGCCCCACCCAAGTCAGGCTTTGCTTACAAGGGGCAGGAAATGGATCTGAGGACAGAGGGAAGGAAAGGCCCCAGAATTTCTAGGGTGCTCGGGCCGCCCTCAGCCTACTGACACCCATCATCCTCAGCTACTCTTTCCGGAATTCACAACCCTGTCCTGGGGTTGAAGGGGCCCCCCACCCCAGACTGCAGAAGGGGTGAGGTCAGAGGGCACTGCTCCCAGGGCCTCTCCCTACCCTTCGGAAGAGACCTGGCTTTCAAAGACAGTCCCGAGGGGGGGGCCCCCACCAACTCTCCAGCCTCAAGCACCCCACCCCACCCCCAGGGCCCTCTCCCAGCTCCCACTTCCTTATTTGGGTTTATCACACTGGAAGGAAAAGGAGAAACTTTTCCCTTCCAGGCTGGCCTGGCGGGGGAGGGGTCTCCTGACGCCCTGGGCACCTCGGGTGGCACACCTGCTGCCTCAGGCCACGCCCCTGCCCTCCCCCCCCCAGTTCCCACGCCTCCCGCCCCACCCAGCCGGAAAGGATCAGTCTCCCGGGCCTCTGGCCTGGACTGGGACCGAGCAGAGCATCGAGGAAGCCAGGCAGGAGGCGGGGGGAGCCCCTGGGAAGCAGAGGCCCAGGGGGACAGGGAGTGGGGGTGACACGGAGGGGGAGAGGCCAGGCCATCCGGGCACAGAGCACCTGGAAAGGGGGTCTGGACTTTATCGGGGTGTAAAGTCCTCATACCAAGGAGTGGGGAGCAAAGTCCTCCAAGGGTGGGGAGGAACTTGGGGTTCAATGTTTCCATTAGGAGGGCCCTGGAGCTCTCCCCCCTTGAGCAGAAGGTTGGGCTGGGATCCCGAAGCAGGGCAATGGGGTGTCCACCAGAATCGGGTGAAAAAGCGATGAATGGGAGAGGGCTCTCAGGGCATGGCGCTGGGAAGGGCAGGGTTCCAGCGGCACCCACCAGAAAAGGGGTGCCCGCAGCCAGACTAGAGGCCAGGGTCCCAAGCCAGAAGCGGGTGTCAGAGCAAACTGAATAAGCTCGACAGGGGGAAGTCGGAGGGAGCCCCAAGAGAGGGACAGGATTTATTGGGGTTCAAAGTCTCCACGCCAGTGAGTCGGGGGTCAAATTCCCAGAGTCGAGGGACTGAAGTGGGGACAAAGTCTCCAGCATGGGGACGCACGGGGACTCAAGTTTCCGGGACGCAGCCGGACGGGGATGCGGGTCTGAGTCCAGGCCAGCCTGAGCTGGGGTGGGGGGTCCTGGAGGTCTGGTGGAGTCTGAGCAGGATCCCCCCCCCAGCTCCCCCGGGCTCACCTCGTCCCATTTGATGAACTTGCTGCCGCGTCTCAGGGTCTCCACCACGGTGGGCGGCTCCAGCTGCAGCGCGTGGACGCCGGGCCTGGCGCCCGCCATGGCCGGCCTGGGGGCGGGTCGCGGGCCAACGGGGGGCCCCCGACGGCGCCGCTGCTCCTTCTCGGGC